GGTGAGTATTATTCCAATCCCTGCAGTCTGTCTAAAGAGTCCATGTTCTTAACCATTACTCCATACTTTTCTCTGATGCAGAGGATAATTCTGTCAGATAACAGATGTGGAAACTGTAAAATGCCACAAAAATGTGAAATATATTTTGTTAATATAAAGAAAATAATATTGATATGTTTAAACAATAAAAATAAGGAAATAATAAAGCTTAAGTGATTTGTGGGAATAGCAGCCTACTCCACCTAAAGGAAAATGCATTATGTGGAAATTCAATCTAATGACATTTTAAATTAATGAACTAATTCATTTTAAATCATCTGAAATCCACAGTACCTGGCACATAGTAGGCCCTCCACGAATATCTATTGAACAGTCATTTATGCCAGAATTGGTCCCACTGATTTTTTTCCCATTCCTGCCAAAACGGAAGAGAACAAACTTTCCTGTCACACTTTCAGGGGTTTGTGTCTAGTCATTTTTGTCCGTGCTCCTTCACATTCTTCTTTTTAAAAAACTAACAGAGCCCTGGTCACTTTGCTCAGTGGTTAGAGCATCAGCCTGAGCTCTGAAGGGTCTCAGGTTCTATGCCTGGCCCTGGTTGGGGCATGTGAGGGAGGCAACCAATCTCTCTCTCTCTCTCTCTCTCTCTCTCTCTCTCTCCCCCCCTCCCTCCCCCCTTGTACCTGAAATAAAATCAATGGAAAAAAATATACTTAGGTAAGGATAAACAACAACAACAATGCCAATGTTTATTGTTTGGTTGTTACTGCTATTACAAAGTATATCTTTTTAAAATAAAAAAATTAAAGATATTGCTGGTGTGTAGAAATGAAACTTACTTTTTAAACTATGTTTTTATTGATTTTTTCTTATTTTAGAGAGAGAGAGGAAGGGAGAGAGAGACAGAAACATCCATATGAGAGAGAAACATGGATCAGCTGCCTTCTGCACACCCCCTACTGGGGATTGAGCCTGCAACCCGGGCATGCCTGGACCAGGAATCAAACAGGGACCTCTCAGTCCATGGGACAACGCTCAGTCCACTGAGCCACATTGGCTGGGCTGCAACTTACTTTTTAAAAAACAGTTTTTATTTTGGAATAGTTTTAGATTTACAGAAAAGTTGCAAATATAGTACAGAGAGTTCCCATATATCATCACCCAAATTCCTCTAATATTATCATCTTACATAATCATCGTGCATATATCAAAATCAAACAGCCAATGAACCAATACATTGTAAAAATATACAATAATATACATTGGTACATTATTACTAACTAAAGTCCAGACTTTATTCAGATTTCCCCAGTTTTCACTACTGTCCTTTTTCTGCTCCAGGATTCCCCTGAGGATCCTACATTGCATTTAATCATCATGTCTCCTTAGTCTCCTCAGGTCTGTGACAGTTAGTTTGTTGTTTTGTTTTGTTTTTGTTTTTATGATCTTGAGAATATTGAGGAGTACTTGTCAGGTATTCTGTAGAATGTCCCTCAATTTGGGTCTGATTTGTTTCTCATGATTAGATTAGGGTTATGAGTTTTGGGAAGAGGGGTAAGGAGGTCAAATACCCTTCTTATTGCATCATATCAGAGAATACATATCAGCATGACATAACTGGTGATGTTAACCCTGATCACTTGGATAGGATGGTATCAGCCAGGTTTCTCCAATGGAAAGTTACTGTTTTCATCCTCTATTTTTATTTTTATTTTTTTTATCCTCACCCGAGGATATTTTTCCATTTTTCGTACAGATAGAGTGGGAGGGAGAGAGAGAGAGAAACATCGATGTGAAGGGACACATCGAGTGGCTGCCACCCGCACGACCAACCAGGGCTGGGGACAAACTGCAACCGAAGTACGTGCCCTTAGCGGGAACCGAACCCGGGTCTCTCCGGACCGCAGGCCGACGCTCTAACCGCTGAGCCAAACTGGCCAGGGCCATCCTCTATTTTTAAAAATCAATTAATCAACAAGTATTTGAGCCCACATTCAGCACTGAAGGAGACTAGTGGAACTCTTGAACAAAATATAACAACATTTTGTTATAAACTGTGCGGTTCAGTGGGAGTCTATAATGGTTATCTCAGTCTTGGTGGTGGTGGAAAGGCAAAGGAGCAAGTGCGGCTTAAGACAGGCAGGAGACGCACATGGTAGTTATATTCCTGTTACTCAATCTACTTTGCCTTTAAAATCTGCTAATTCATTCAAAAATTATTTAAGTGCCCACTGTGTGCTAGGCACTATTTTAGGTACTAGGAATATGGCAGTGAAAAAACGCATTCAGTTCCATATCCTCATGATGTTATAGTTTAGTGGGGGAGACAAACAAATGAGTAAAACATGTTGAACTAGGGAAGGAGACTAGGAATCATGCACCAGTGTGCTAGTATGAGTGGGTGGTGTGGTTTGAGGCTGGTTTTCAGATTTCTTAGTGTGTAAAGGGAAAGCTTCAGCAAGAAGGCGACATTTAAGACAAGACCTGCAGAATGTGAGGGAGTGGGCCACGTGGATATTAGTTAGGGGTAACAGCAATCCAGGCAGAGGAAATTGCCCTGAGGTGTGATGTCTGACATGTTCAAGGACCAGTGAGGAGGCTGGTGAGAATTGGGAAGAGTGGGAGGAGATGAGGTTTGAGAGTTCAGAAGTTGTGAAGTGCAGAATGAGTTGAGTTTTGAAGGTCAAGGAAAGGACTTGAGTTTTCACTCTGCTCAAGTTAGTAAGCCATTGGATAATTTTCACTAAAGGAGTGACTTGATCTAACCCTGGCAAAGGGGTTGACAATACTTTGTTGGAAAGAGGGTATGGGTGGAAACGGAAGATTAGGAGAGAAATACGGTAGTTTGGACTATCGCAGTGAAGTGATAGGAAAGGGTCAGATTCTAGGTAAAAGATTCAAGATTGAGAACAAGATAAAAAGAGATGAAAGAAAACCTCTTTGAATTTACAGTAGAAAAATGTAATTTCCTTAACAACAAAAAGATCAATAACTGGATTTAAAAATGGGCAGAGGACTTGACTAGATAGTTCTCCAAAGATGATATACACATGGCCAACAAGCATATGAAAAGATGCTCAACATCACTAATTGCTAGGAAAATGTAAATCAAAACCTCGCACCCATTAAAATGGCTACTATAAAATATACAGAAAATAAATGTTGGCAAAGATGTGAAGAAATTGGAACTCTATGCACTGTTTGTGGGAATGTAAAAGGGTGCAGACATTGTGGAAAACAGTATGGAGGTTCCTTAAAAAAATTAAACTAGAATTACCACATGATCCAGCAATTCCACTTCTAGATATATATTCAAAATAACTGAAAGTATGAATTGAGTTGGTTCTCCCCATAGCTATGAATAAAAAAAGTTGTTTTAACAAATCATAGGTTCATAGAAAATCTCTAGTTTTGTGGTCTATTTTCTCTAATAATAGGAAATGAACTTTCAATAAAAAGTACATGGGCAGCCCTGGCTGGTTTGGTTCAGCGGTTAGAGCATTGGCCCGCAGCCAAAGAGTTGCAGGTTCGATTCTGGTCAAGGGCATGTACCTCAGTTGCAGTTTGTCCCCGGCTCTGGTCTGGGTCCTGCAGGACCAGTCAATGTTTCTCTCTCTCTCTCTCTCCCCCTCCTTCCCACTCTATCTGAAGATAAACAGAAAAATATCCTCAGGTGAGGATTTAAAAAAAAGAAAAATACATGAGGACCTTGAGCAAGTGGTTTATTTTTCACAGGACTGAAGTGCAGGTGGAAAGGAGCAATTCCTAGACTATCTGGAGGATCTGAGTAAATGAATTTCTACCTAAGCTATTAATTTACAATAACTGAAAAGAGATAATTTGTCTCTTCCAGTGGACTTTCGAATTAAATATAAGAGAAACTTAGGCAGAGAAAATACATGCAGAAAAATGTCTGGTATTATACTGAAACTAAACAACATTGAAAATATTTTTTTTCTATTGTATTATTTAGCTATCTGACTCTTAGAGAAGGAAAATGATATTCTTCCCAATCGGTTTATACAGAATTCAGCCCCCAAGGTACACCTTCATTAGAAACAGATTAAGGACAAACCTACATTTCGCAGTTTTTAAGCAAATGTCTGTACAGACACCATAGATGAACAAAATTACGCACTTTAAAATCTGAGGTTAACAAGGCACTTAAAAATAACCAAGGGTTATTGCTACTGCCTGTGATGTCATCGATTACGTAAACATCGCTATCTACTTGAAAAGTTATGGAAAAGCCCTCTTATTTTTTGCAACGGCTTAATAAGAGAAAATGATGCCACTACTGCAGCTGTCTGCATGCAGTTAAAACTCTGAATTTCTTGACGGTTGCTTTTGAATGGGGGGCTGTTTGCTACTTCGGGGCAATCGTGGGGTCAAGAACCTCACTGGAAGAAAAAATCATATACACTTTGCTAACGTGGGATAAAGTTGTTGAGCCTCTGGATCTGTGACTTGGAAGAAGGAAAAGAAAAAGACAACTATTTTTTGTTTGTTTTTGCCTTGTTCTTGCTGCTTTGGTGCAGAAACCCCCAAGAACGTTCAGGTCCACGGCTCGACACAGCAGGGAGAAACGGGAGCAGTAGTTCGGGCTTTCTGAGGAGTCTGTAAAGGCAAACAGCACTTAATTTTCAGCCGGCATCGGGTTTTGGCGAACTCCAGCGCTGGTTCAGTGTCCTCCTCCATTTGTTAGATGTTTTCACCTCTCGGTCTCTAACAAGGGCGGGGAAAGAAAAGGCGAAGTCACTCGGTCGCCACGGGCTGTCGCTTAGCATCGAGGGTCTCGGGAGTGGGCGGGGCCCGTCCGCCCCTCCTCGCCCGGGCTTTGAGCGCTCGCTCCTCGGGTCCCGCCCCCCAGGGCTGGGGGCGGGGCCGGCCGGGAGCTGCCCTCTTCCAACATGGCGCCGCGGGAGGCGAGTTCCGCCTGCTGGCTCCCGTTGTTCCGGCGCCGCGCATTTTGGTTCCGGAGTAACGGTGTCCTAACTGCCGCCTTTCTCCTTCTCCTCCCGCTGCTGCCGCCGCCGTCGCAGCCGCTGCCAGGAAGCGTGACCCGGACAGCTGGGGCTGAGCCCGCGTGGCCGCGCCCTCTGGCTCGGGTTGGGGCAGAGGACTCGCCCCCGACCCTCCCACGGAGGGCCCCCCCCCCGGCTTTCTGGAGGCCCCGGGGCTTCCTAACAGCCCTGGACTGAGTCCCCTACAGTCTGGGACGCTCCCCTCGTCCTCTTAGGAGGAGTGGACATCTGCCGCTCTATTTCCCTAAAACCGGGGCTCCTCTCTGCCGTCTTCTCACACCCACACAGGCAGCCGAGGGCTGCACGATCTCGTTTTGCCCTCTTTTCCAACTCTAGAACCTTCTGACCTCCGCTAGTTCCTTACCCCGTGCACGCTCACAGGGAGACATCCCTCTGCCCCATACAGCCTGGGCCTAGGTGGGTGCCTGCGGGGGGGGGCCCGTTCTTGACCACCCCTCCTCTCTCGTACCCCCTCACCCCCTGTCCTCTTCCCCCGGTCCCCTTGTCACCCCTGGGAGCCCCATCCTAACCAGGGGCCATGGATACCCCCTACCCCAGGATGTGAGCCCCTTTAACCTGTAATGCTGTGGCTGGCCTTTGGCCCCTCCCATGCCATGGAGAACCAGGTGCTGGTGATTCGCATCAAGATTCCAAATAGGGGCGCAGTGGACTGGACAGTGAACTCCGGCCCGCAGTTACTCTTCAGGGATGTACTGGTGAGTGTTAATCTCAGTGTCCAGATCCCAATGAGGGGGAACAGGGATTTGTGGAGTAGTCAGCACCTGACCACTGAATCTTACTCTGGTGGCCCTGGCCTTCCATGGGGGCAGTTTTATTGCTTCAACCACAAGCACTGATTAGTTGCATGGGCTGAAATCTGGCAAGTGTGCAGGGCCCTGGGTAACTAGAGATGATCAGATTGAATCCCTGCCCTCAAGTAGCTCACAGCCTGGATTGGGACATAGGCACAGAAGCAACCAACTGGAATACAAAAAGCTAAGTCTAGAAGAGAGTTTTTCTCAAGTGTTTTTTGGAATGTCCCTGGCAGATTCCAGCCATGTCTTTCTACTTAGTTCCCTGAACTTGGTGACCAGCAAGAAAGGGAAACAAGGCAGCTGTAACCTATCATGTTTCATCAGACATAAGTTGTTATTGATTTTAAGATATTTTATATACCACTAAGAAAACAAACAAACAAACAAAAAACACGCTACTCATTAAACTGTGACCCACCACACATTGTACAAAAACAGCTTGATGTCAGATATACTAAATTGGGGGAAAATGTGCATTTTAGAATCAGTGATGTATTCTTGTTTCATAATAAATACTTGGAATGTGTTTGAAATAAAATCATGGAATGTGAGAGCCACCTGCTTGGAGATGGCCTGTTGAGAGCCTTCTTATCTTCTTTGCAGATAGCTAATGAGGAGCAGTGAGGTGAAATGACTTTTCCAAAGCCCTGTTGCTTGTGAGTTCGGGAATCCGTACCAGAGCTCAGATTTCCTTACTTTTACTTAGTATTTATTTCCACATACTGTAGTGCCTTCTCATATTTTAGCATTCGTTTGAGACAATGTATTGTGCCCATTTTATTGAATAACTGAGGTATCAGAGGCAGAGCTGACTTACCAAGAAACACATTGTGAGTACCAGATCTATAGTGGAACTTACCTGCAAGATAAGATAGGGCTGGGTGGAGGTTCTTGGCAGGAGTAAGATCTTTGATGCCATTTTTGGTTGTCATAAGTTACCCAATCAACATTTGATTCCTATACCTTTGAGTTCTAGATGTTACTGAATACCCAGAACATATGGATTTTCAGGTGTCTGGGCCAAGAGTACAGAGGCTAGAGTTCACTCTTGTACACCAAATGCCATCCTTCTTGCATCCAGAGTTCTGCATCGTTCTCCATCCAGTCACATGCGCACAGGTTTCTCTTCATGCTCAAGTTCAAACGCCTTAATATCGTCCTCTGGGCCCATCTTAATTGGCTTGTGCTTGCCTGGCACCAGCTTCATTGCTCACCACAGCCCAGTGAGCATCTTCTGCTCTAGGCATTTAGAATTAACCTTGAGTTCTCCCAGATTCCCACTCGGCCCTTCTTCAGCTGGCCAACTCCCACCTGTCCTTCAAAGCCCAGCTTCACTTTTCTTCCACATTTGTCTTGGTTACTTGCCCCTCCTCTGTGTTCCCACAGCTTTGTTCCAGCAAGCACATAAGTTGTATCATAATTTTGTCTGTCTCCTCCATTAGATGGTAAACTTCTGGAGGAGATGGCCATCTCTGGTTCCCCTCTATTTCAGGTACACCATAGAACCCTGAAATCTTTGTTAAATGAGGAATCTTCAAAGAGGATGCTTTCAATTATGGTTTTGTGGGCAGCATACTAGGTTTTGAATGAAAAATTTTGGATTTAACGGCAAGTAGTCCCCTAACTAGGCAAGTCACTCTGTCCTCTGAGCCTCAGTTTCCTTACTTGTAAAATGGGGATAATTGTGAAGACTACATGAGTTTGGGTCTATGATGAGGGAAACAAGAGCTCTCTCACTTTACTTATTGTATTTGAGATATCAGAAGATATTAATTAGAAACCCGAAAGCGTCCCCTTTATCTAATGCAAACCTCCTCACCTCAGTTTTCAATTAAGGAAGCATGAACCCAAAGGTGGGAAATGCTAAAGTCACACGGCTAGTTTTTGACAGAACCAGACAGAAAAGCCAGAAGAACTTTGTAGTCACTGAGTCAGTTGTAACAGAGTGTTTGGAACAGGAGTTAGTCCTTGAGGGCTCCAGTCACAGGTGTCAAATACCTGGGAGACCCTGGGCAAGTCACTTGGCCACTGTAGACCTGTGCCCTTTGTCTGAATTAAGTAGGAACTGGCTGCAATGTGAAACAGACTGAGCTGGTGCTCAAGGGCAGAGACATTTGGGTTATCTGTTTTTCAGCTTTGTGTGTTTCTCTTTTTCCTGGAGACATAGTGCACAGTCTGGGGAAATTGTGCGGGAGATCTGAATCTCTGGAATTAGTGGTCGAGAGCATGTTACCCCTTTCCTCTTGCTGTATGAGTCCTGTCTCCCAAGTCCCAGTTCAGATTTCCCTTCATCTGTTTATACCAAGTCTGTGATTTTTCCTTCCTCCTGAGTTAAGTAGCAAATACTACTTGCTACTTACGTTTTTTTGGTTTGGTTCTTATTATACTGTTAAGTATTCTGTATGGTTAGTCCTCTAAGTTTGTCTTTATCTCTGAGACCAGATTATAACTTTCATAAGTCTTATTTTTCTTTTCTTTTTAAAAATTTCTTTTTCCTTTATTGATTTTTAGAGAGAGAGGAAGTGAGAAGGAGAGATAGATATATCAGTGAGAGAGAACATTGATTGGCCATCTCCTGCATGCCCCCCTCTGGGGAATTTGGCCCACAACCTGGGCATGTGCCCTGACCGGGAATCGAACCGGCGACCTATTGGTGCATGGCTCAACCACTGAGCCACACCGGCCGGGCCTAAGTCTTATTTTTCTATCGCCTCTAGCTTTGTGTTCTTCATGCTTCTAGTACATTGTAGATGGTTAATTATACTTTTGGTCTGTCAGATTTTTGACTGATGTATTGAAAGGAAAGAGAGGGAAAGGATGAAGAAATTATCACTATCAAGATATTTAGCCCTGGCCAGTTTGGCTCAGTGGTTTAGCATCAGCCTGCAGACCAGAGAGTCCCGGGTTCGGTTCCTGCTAGGGGCATGTACCACTAAATAAATAAATAAATAAATAAAAAGATATTTAGCCCTGGCCGGTTTGGCTCAGCATTTGGAGCATCTGCCTGTGGACCAGAGAGTCCTGGGTTCGGTTCCCAGTAGGGGCACGTACCAAAAAAAAAAAAAAAAAAAAATGGTATTTAAACTTAAGTTCCTTTTGAAACCTCTTTAGGTTAGGTAAATGTCATATCGAAGAGAAGACTGGGTTGCTTTGAAATAAATAACATAGAGAAATAAATAACATAAAATATAACTGGAGCCCTGGCGGGTTTGACTCAGCAGTTAGAGCGTCGGCCAAGAACGAAAGACTCCCAGGTTCAATTCCAGCCAAGGGCACGTAACTCAGTTACAGTTCGTCTCCAGCCCTGGTTGGGGTCATGCGGGAGGCAACCAATTGATGTGTCTCTCTCACATCAATATTTCTCTCTCTCTTCCTCTCTCCCTCCCTCCCGCTCTATATAGACAGACTTTGGACTGTCTATACTGTGTTAGGCTAGCTTATGTTTATTATATTTTTTATTTAATTTTTATATTACCTCTGTAAGTATTACTAGACCCGTATTGGAGGATAATCAGATTGAGGCTCAGAGAGGTTAAGTAATTTGTTCCTAATCACACAGTTAGCATGTGCAGAGCTGAGATTCAAATCCAGGACAGTCTGACTCCCAAACCCCTTACTCTTTGTACTACAGTACATTCCACAGCTTCCCATAGGAGAAACCAAATTTTTGTAAACACACAGTAGTGTATTTGTATACACTGTTGAATTGATAGTGAAAGATTATATTATTAATACAACGTAGAAAATATTTTGTAAAGATTCTCCCCCCAGCTCCCATCCCCACCCCATGAATAGAGATTTAAACTGTGGGTTTGCATTGCTAGGCTAAGTGTGATTATGAGCTAATGTTTTTATAGTTTATGCCCACATTTCAAAAATCTTTTCCAGGTTCTCATATTTCCTCCAGGATTTGCCACATGTTAGCAATAAAGAAGATGGCTAATTGTGTTTCTTTATTCTTTCTTTGTTTAGGATGTGATAGGCCAGGTTCTGCCTGAAGCAACCACCACAGCATTTGAATGTAAGTCTGGCTTGTATACTTTCTTGACTGTTTCCTTCTGCAGTCATTTTTCAAAGGGTTTATGGGTTGCATTACTTTAGAAACTGACAAAAACAGATTATTTATGATCATCACATGGTACATTTAAATATTTATAAATTAATGCAAGTTTAATGATGATACTTAACTGAGTAATATTTTCTTATTTAATCATATCTTGGGTGTGATATTTCTGTAATATAGCTTTAATTACCAACATGACCTTTATCTGCTCTTGCTCCTCACTGTAATAATATTGTGGTGTAAAATGAAACTTGTAAACTACCTGTAGGCCAATGATTATTGATTAAGAGGTTTTAATGCATTGCTGCTTTATAACATCAACAGAGTAGAGCTTTTAAGAGAACATTGAGTGGAATAATTCTGTTGTAGTGGGGCTTGGCATGGCACCTAGATGATGGCAGCAACACTTCAGGTCTTGAGTCCCTTCCTCTACCACCCTCCACACCACACCAGTTGGCTTAGAGACCAGGAGCAGGGGCAGGGTACTAGAAAGTTGGTTTTGACATGAGCCAGGTCATTGCAGGAGAGGTCAAGGTCTGAGTAATGTTAAGGTGAGGGTTTAGTCAGTAGCTGTGGCATTGAGAAGGATAATGCATTTGTAACTGTAGTTCCCATCGTTTTTTTAAAGGTGAGGGTCACTTTCCATGTGGAAAAATGTATGATTTCTCCACACGATAGTATACATTTTGTGCTTGTGTTTTAAGCAGCTGGTTAATGACAGAGAGTACACTGTCCTCTGTTTTATTTATATTCTCTTTGGAGGACAATTTGGCAGTACTTACCAAAATATAAAACGTGTAAAACCTTGACTCAGCAGATCCACTTTTAGGAAGCTGTCCAACAGAAAGACCTAAACATATGTTCAGTGCCCTTCAAATAAAGTGTTCATTGTGGAATTATTTTTAATAGCAAAAAATTAAAAGTAAGCTAAATGCCTAAAATAACAGAATAAATTATTTATCTATAATCTGAATCATTAAGCAGTGGCTATAAAGAATGAGTTAGGCCCTGGCTGGTTTAGCTCAGCAATTAGAGTGTCGGCCCACAGACCGGAGAGTCCCGGGTTTGGTTCCTGCTAAGGGCACGTACCTTGGTTGCAATTTGTCCCTGGCCCCGGTTGGGGTCATGTGGGTGGCACTCGATATGTCTCTCTCATATCGATGTTTCTCTCTCTCTTCCTCCTTCTCTCCCTCCCGCTCTATCTAAAGATAAATGCAAGAAAATATCCTCAGGTGAGGATAACAAGAAACAAAAAGAATGAGATAGGATTTTATGCATTGACAGGGAAAGATATCCACGATTTATTATTGAATAAACAAATAGAATATATGGTATGATCCTGTTTTGTGAAAAAGCTAATCTCTTCTCCTCCCAACTTCATGAATATCTTGAAACAAGGATCCAAAGTTGCCCGCTACGCTACGGTGCTTTCCAGTGCTTCCCCCGGAAAAGGCGACTTGGGGGCTGAAGTGGGGGAAGGGTTGGCTGAATGAGCACACTTTTTACTTTATATATTTTTCTATTGTTTGAATATTTTCAACAATTACTATGTTTTGAAAGCTACTTGAATAGAACTCTTAGAATAATTACTGTTTTATTAGCCACACTGGACTCTATCTACTATTGAAAAATAGTACATATATCTGAAGTACATATTAGTGTTGTAAACTCTTTAGACCCCTTGCAGTAACTCCTTGGGGGGGCCAGGGATTCCATGGACAGTCTAATAGTTAACATTTGGAGTACTTACTGTTGCTAGATGCTGTGCTAAGAGCATTCCATGGGTTATCTCATTTAATTTAACCTTCATAAGATCCCCATGAAGTACTTTGACAGACTGTTATTAGCTCTGTTTTAGTTGAGGAAAGGGCATCTCTAAGCAACCTGCTCGGAATCTTATAGCTAGTAAATGGTAAAGTGGAATTTCTGGAGTATACTCCAGGGTGTGTGTGTGTGTGTGTGTGTGTGTGTGTGTGTTCTAAACCAATACTGAGACTTGTTTTGAGAGTTGTCATAATTCTTGAAACCATGTATTCTGATTGTTCTTAAGTGCAGCAAAAAAGAAGCTTTATACTTTTTACCTCTTGCTTTCTGGGTCCTCCAAAGTGCCTCAGTGTACCTGTGCCCCACAAGCTTCAAGAGTTAGGTTGGTAGTAATAATACTGATTACTTTAACTATCATTTATGGATGGCCTGCTCTGTGCCAGGCAATGTACTACATAATTTACTTTAATTGTTGCTAATCTCTACAACAGGAAAAGTAGGAAAATTATACCTGTGAAGAAACTGAAGCTCTGAGAGACGAAATGATTGCCAAAATTGATCAGCTCGAAAGTGGTGGAGCCCAGATTCAAACAGTTTTTTTTTTTAGTGTAACACTTGTGCCCTATATTTATAATTAAGCATATCGGAAACCTGTGAAGTGTGTTAAGTATGTTTTATATGGTTTATGGGTTTATGGTTTATGGGTATGATGGAAAAACTCTTGAAAAATTAAACTTTTATCCAAGAAATATTTATGGTATTATATTTAATACTGAAAAATATACCTAGCATGCTTACAGTTTTAGGTTTAGGTTCTTAGACATCTCATTCCTTTTTTTCTCCCAGCATGGCAGCAGCTCTGTGCCCATCTGCATCTGGACCAGTTGTAGGTGAAAAAATAAAAATACAAAACAAAAACACACGCAGACAAAATAATGGTAGTTTTTTGTGCTTAGATCATCAAGTACTTTCCATTAGAGATATAAAATCCTAGGCTGGCTTTTTTCATGATTGTTCTAAGGTGATCTTATTTTCTGAACCAAAGATCTGAACTAATAAATGGAATCTATGTATAAGAAACAGCTGGAAAGATGTAGTTTGTAAGCTAATGTACTGATGTTTTTGAGCTGTTTCAGTGATTTGTGGATATGATAGAACAATTCTTGAATACAAAAAACTTTAATCAAAGATATATTTATGGTAGTATATTTATTACTAAAAAGCATACCTAACACCAATTGATTTCTTATACAAAAAAGATGGTATTATATTTAGTGATATGAATGTAGCAACAAGAAAAAGGTCACATACCATCAGATTGACCTGTTTTACATAAACGTAGAGAAAAGAATTTGAGTAAGGGGAAAGATCAGTTATTGTTATAGATTCTTCAGCTCTGAAAAAAGCCATCTATCTCTTCAGTGAAGTCTCCGGTACCCTAGATGTAGTTAATTTCTCTGTGCACCTTTATGGGAGCAGGTTACCTTTTAGGTCTGCCTTCTGGTTGGTTGTATGTCTTTCTCTTTCCTCACTAGATTTTGAATGAATCTGTGACAGGGATCATGTTTTATTTCACTTTTACTCTCTTCTTAGTACTTAGCTTAGTGCCTTATAAAAACACCCTTGTTGAATAAAATGGAATGTTTTATGTCTGTAGTCAAATGAAAATTATAAAATGCATTTGACCTAAAGCCAAGTAAGTGATTTGCTCCAAATTCAAATTCCCAGCCCTGGCCAGTTTGGCTCAGCGGTTAGAGCGTCGGCCTGCGGTCCGGAGAGACCCGGGTTCGGTTCCCGCTAAGGGCACGTACTTCGGTTGCAGTTTGTCCCTGGCCTTGGTTGGTCGTGCGGGTGGCAGCCACTCGATGTGTCCCTTCACGTCGATGTTTCTCTCTCTCTCTCCCTTCCTCTCTCTCCCTCCCACTCTGTCTGTACAAAAAATGGAAAGATGTCCTCGGGTGAGGATAAAAAACAAACAAACAAACAAATTCCCACACTTGACTGGGCCTGGTGTCCTGTGGGACTGAGGGTCTGCAGTGGCTGTATTCTTTCTTTCTTTAAAAATATTTTTCCTTTATTAATTTTAGAGAGAGAGGAAAGGAAAGGAGAAAGAGAGAGAGAGAGAGAAACATTGATGAGAGAGAACATCGACTGGTTGCCTCCAGCATGCCCCGCACTGGGGATTGGGCCCATAACCTGTGCCTGACCAGGAATTGAACTGGTGACCAGCCAGGGTGTGGCTGTATTCTTTCTGACTCTGTCCCTGGGGATGGTATTTCTGAGGAGAGCTGGGCTGGATGAGGGAAGGGAGGCCTATTTGTGCTGAATTCACTTCTTGGACTGATTATCCTAAACTTTTTTTTCTTTTTATTCCTTCTTGGTTTTGCTTCCTTACAAGAGCACAAATGAAAGTACTTTTCAGTATCCAGTGTTTAACATTTTTTTAAATTAAGAAGGTATAGATGATTTTTAAAAAACATTGAAACAGCCAGGTCGGTGTGGCTCAGTGGATTGAGCATTGGCCCATGTACTGAGAGGTCATGGTTCGAGTCCCAGTCAGGGCACATGCCCAGGTTGCAGGCTCGTTCCCAGTGGGATGTGTGCAGGAGGCAGCCAATGTTTCTTTCTCACAGTGATGTTTCCCTTTCACAACGATGTTTCTCTCTCCCTCTCTCGCTAAAAAATTAATAAAAACATATTTAGAAAAGCAAAAACAAAAACATTCACATAACATAGAATAAAGCAAAATGTAAAAGTCTTCATTTTACCAAAGTCAGTAGTTAACAGTTTCTTCTGTATCTTTATAGAAATTTTCTCTGTGTGTCTTCTGTACTATACTGGAACTAGTTTCCCTGCCCGCATGTGGTAGTGTACATTGGGCCCCTTTCCAACATTAGTGTGGGCAACCTCATTCTTCTGCATGACTGCATTTTACTGAATTTTATGGTTATGGCTTAATTTATTTAGCTTATTGATGGATCAGTTTTAAGTTTGTTACTGGCATTTTAGTATCAGAAGAAATGCTGCAGACAGCAATAGTGTCTTGTATCATTCCACATTGTGGAAATATATTTGTAGGATAAATTCCTCAGAGCTGGAACTACTGAGACAGAGTATCCATTTTTTACATATTAATAGCTATTACCATGTTGCTGTCAAAAAGATAGAACCAATTTACACTCCCACCAACGATG